CACATTATAACGCCCCCACGGCTGAAAGGACGAGCATGTTTGGTGGTATGCGGATTCGAACCCGCGACCCTCAGATTGTGAGTCGAGCGCCTTATCCACCTGGCCATGCCAGGCCTCCTTCTAAAGAGACTTGCTTTTTATACATATTATCAAGCAGTTTCTGCTGTCGTTGTGCGAGTTAACCGTGGTGGGCAGAGCACAGATAACCCATTGTGTAGCTTTGTGGACCTGATATTAAAGTCTATGTCCCCCCCCCCCCAGTGGCACAGCGGAATGTCTTCGGATTTTTACAACGCTAGAAGCCGGGTTTCGATACCCGTGGTGGGAGAGCACAGATATCCTATTGCGTAGCTTTGTGCTTAATTACAAACAAACAATTAGAGTCTACTTCAAATATTTTCGGCTTACCTTATCTTTAATAAAGAATCTTTCAGCAAATTTCGTCTGTCGCACTCTTTACATTTTTATTTTTTTAACATAATACGTGGGTTGGGAACCTGGTGCAAAACCTGTGTTTAAAAAGTTCATCGCTGAAATTAGTGACCTTACTGTTACGTATAATTTCTGAACACAGTCCCTAAATCTTACTTTTAAATATATTTATATTTGCCATTGACGAATAACGGGATGTTTTTTTTTTTTGCATATGCTGACACAGTACAGTTTATTTTCAGAGCAAAGCCACATTGGGCTATCTGCCGTGTCCATCTGGGGGGGTGGGGGGGAATCGAATCCCAGATCTTAGCGTTGTAATTCCGCAGACTTTTAACACTGTCTCACCAGGGGGACGATACAGTAGAGATCTTAATGTCATTAATATGTAAAATGTTGATGGTGTAGTTGTGGTTTTGTTGATTATCTTATAACATAACGATGTTTAAAACTCCGAACATAATAATGCAATAATGTATAATATGCGGGCAGAGCACAGATAGCCCATTGTGTAACCTTGTGCTTAACTTCAAACAAACAAATATTAACAATATGTCATTAATCAAAAGAGGTGCCCCCCAGTGGCACAGCGGTATGTCTGCGGACTTACAACGCTAGAAACCGGGTTTCGATACCCGTGGTGGACATAGCACAGATAGCCCATTGTATAGCCTTGTACTTAACTTCAAACAAACAAATACTAACAGTAGTGGCTCCACGGAAACTTTGAAGGCTTATAGCGCTGAAAACTGGATTTTGATACCTGTGGTGGGTACAACACAGATAGCCGATTGTTTAGCTTTGCGCTTAACAAAACAACAACAACAACAAAGTTTTTGGTGTGCCTAGAAAGTTTGTGTTCGTTTTACGACCGAACACGTTTAAGTATCAACGTTTTTTTCTTTCCTCATTCCTTGCAGGACAGTGGACCAAACGTCATTGTCCAGCGACAGCCGGAAGACCTACAGGACCTAGCCAATACTAATCTTCAAATTCTGGAACCGAGGCTGGAGGAAGAAGAACAAGAGGCGATCTTGCGTCAGCTTTCTGAGCCAGGATTATATCTAGACCACGTTCTTAGAAACATCGACATTAAAGTGGAACCTTTTAGTAATTCCTGCCAGTATTCAGGCACCGTGTGCGAAGTAACTCCTTCCAACAAGAAAAGAAAGCGAAGACAAAACGATGAAGGCATATTTGCTCAATTACATAGCTCTTTACATCCATCTGGAGTTTCAGAAGTGTCTTCCTTAGCAGTGACAAATTCTACTGAAGAGTTTCAGATGGCACCTTCTACTCAATTTGGCTCTTCTTTCGCCCCTGATACATCAACCAATCAGCTTCGTCCATTGCAAATAGTAACCAGTCTCTCGACGTCTCAGTCTGACATCGTAACGAAAAATTACCAAGAAGGTTCAGGATGTGACAATACAAAAAATGGTAAGTCTTAGAATTCAATTCCAGTCATTGTATTGTTTGCTGAACCCATCGTAATGAAACAACGAATACAATCAAAACTAACACGATTTCTATGACAACCAATTTTACCCCATTTTGTAGAAACATGCGGGCTTACTTATTGGTTCATTCCAACAACTTACGAACGAGCCATTTAAAAATTTATATGATAATTTGTTTGATATACAATTGACGTCAAGGCCACAAAACCATTCTCCAAGTAATAATAGAAAATAAAATATTAATTTACAGAGATAATAGTTAATCGGATTTTTTGTAATTGCTGACATTTCTTTTTATAGGCATTGGGCAGGTCTTGAACGTTGTCATAAATGTTTTATATTTATAATGAAAATTGTAGTCTTGTGCTGCCACCTGTTCTTCAAACTGAATACTACAAATAAATATTTCCTAGTTTCTCTAGTGCTCGCTAGATAGCAAACGCTGTATGAAGGACGTTATTTTAGGTTAAACTATATTTCAAAACATTCACCTAGATATGATTTTTTAAAAACAAAAATCAGTTTTAGACTAAAAACTTTTTAAAAAAAGTCCCACTGGTATTAGATTCAGTTCGTAAACTATGGAAGGTTGTACCAAATACTTGCTAGATATATTTTGAATTAAATAACATGCTTTGGGGCGGGGGCAAATTTTGGTGGAAGCAAACTTTATGATGGCTTATATCTTGTTTTGTCTACAAAGCATAAATAATCATAAATAAGGATTTGCTTGTGTAGGCTAAACATGATCTCGTTGTGCTGATGGACAATAGCCATTATGCGCATCCGTTGGGGGGGGGGCAAGGGGGCACCTACCCCCTGGAAAATGAGTAACATAATTCTTTCTTTATTCATTCAGTATATGTATATGAATTTTGTATTCACTTCACAATTTCACACTACTTTGCCCCGGAAAAATTTCTGCAAACGCCCATGGTAGCCATGGTTTCAAGTGATTTTTTTTTTCTTCATCCAACAAGTTTTAGAGACACAGTACAGATTCAGTGATATTGTTTGTAATGTATAGAACCTGCAAGTATTTTTATTTTTTTACCTAGTTTTAATATATATATATATCAAATTCAGTTCCTGGTGATATACGCTCGCCACAAACCTTACATGTGGATATTTAATTAATTTTCAACATCGTGGTGCTAAAAGTAAAAAAAAAATTAACACAAACAATCGGGGCTATCATTCATACTCAAACAGTTGAGGTAAAGTTTGTTTTTAACGCAAAACCACTTTGGGTTATCTGCTAATGTCCACCGCGGGAAATCGAACCCCGGATTTTAACATCGTAAGTCCGTAAACCTACTGCTGCTCCACCTGGTGACAGCCGAGGTAAGAATGGAAACAATTTTAAATGTAGTTTTAATGTGTGGATTAAAAAGTGATTCAAACATAACCACACTCGTCTTAGTAAACTCGATAACCCCCCTCCCCCACTCTAATATTTTTTTACAGTTAAACAATACAATATTGTGAGAATTACTTTTAATATTCATTATGTACAAAGAGGCCTAGCGCATGGGCGTCCGCGGGGGGGTACTTGCCCCCCCCCCTGGAAAATGAGAAACATAATCCTTTCTTTATTCATTCAGCTTTTTTTTTCAAGAACCATAAAGCGGATTGTTCCAAAATCCTGTAGCACCTGATGCAATCCCAGCAACGTTTACACGCGGTTTGCCCCAAAATCTTTTAATACCTGATACAATCCCAGCAACGTTTACACGCGGTTTGCCCCAAAATCTTGTAATACCTGTTACGGTCCCAGCAATGTTTACACCCGGATTGTCCCAAAATCTTGTAATTCCTGCTACAGTCCCAGCAATGTTTACACCAGGATTGTCCCAAAATATTGTAATACATTCTCTAATATTTTTACAGTTAAACAATATAATATTGTGAAAATTACTTTTAATATTCATTATGTACAGAGAGGCCTAGCGCATGGGCGTCCGCAGGGGGGGCACCCCCCCTTGAAAATGAGAAACATAATCCTTTCTTTATTCACTCAGCGTATGTATATGATTTTTTTATTCAATTCACAATTTCACACTACTTTTG